CGTCAAGGTCCTTCAGCGACTGGAAAAATCGATCGCAGAGGTTCTCCCTGAAATCATATCACACAGCGCAACCACAAAAACCAAAAAATCTTACTTATCTGATGGCCATTAGTTCATCGCGAGATTGTCCTGTACCTACAATGGACGTACTAGGAAATCCAAATGAGATCCGTGATGACTGGGCAGCAAGAGAAAACATTGAAATAATTTGCACAAGCATAAAGACTGTTGTAGAATTCCTTAATAGGTTTCACTCGTCCTGCCGACTTCGCTTGGCAGAGCTGGACAATCGCCTAAAGCGCATTGAAAAGACGCTTGACCTAATGGATGCTAACCTGAATTACAACGTCTCCGTTCAGGGCCAGCTCCAAAGTTCTAACTTAAATTCAAGTGAACCGCGGTAAATAAAGGAAAGCAAAACATGCGATTCCTTTGTTGCTTTTTAAATCAATCGACTCCTTGATCACCGAATTATTTAGCCCACATTTTTGACGATTCTAACTTTTTCTTAATGTACAAACTATCTTTCTATTGAATCATCTCTTGTATTTTTCTTCTAATTTATGAAATATCGATTCTTTCAACGCCACTAATTGAAAGGATCTTGTACTAGTACAAGATTATAGTATAATCGCGATCGATTAGTTCGATTTAAACCGCTATATATCGTGACCGAGTAGCGCAGTCACCTGGATATAATGTTGACTAACGAACAGTTACACCAAAGGATGAGTAGAATGGCCACCAGAACCCCACTCTTCGTTGTCTGTATTCATTCTGCCTAAGTCTGGTACTTTTGTCCGTCAAAGTATGTCTGCATTGTAGCAAGTTTGACTTGAACCAACTCTACATGTCCACTAGCCCACCTGTTCGCTGCGATTCCATACAGGATTTCAACAGAAGGGTAACGCTGCCGGCATAGTAGAGGCTTGCTTCATTTGACAGTATAGTACTGAATTATCAGATTGGTTGCCCAGTAGGCTATCGGGTAGCGACCTACTCGCGTAGGTGGGGTATGAATAAAATGAACGCTTCGCTCTTGATTCCTTTCGAATAGTCTTTTACTGCAGTATTCGGATCGAATGAAGCGTAACGGCATCGGTAGCATGCTGGGAAGCAAGATCAGTCAAAACAAGCCCCCATGAATCTTCACATATAGTGCATATATTTCATACAGCTGTGATCACGCTTGATCTAGCCGGCCTTGATGTCATGGATTTAACCTCAGCACGCGTGACGATTTGTGACAGATATAGTGTTATAAGTCAAATCGACCAGCGTA